TGCGATTTTCTGAAGTCTGTATAACTCGGGCGTGACGCCGTTTCGCATTTCGAAGTAATTTTCTTGTGTTTACAAAATATTTTCAGCATGGGGTAGCTCACGCGGTTACAGTTACAAAGTTACTTCCCTCTAACCATGCTCATACATAAATATCAACCTTTGACCTACCGATTATGCGTAAAGCATGCGCGAGGGCTACCATGAACGCATGAATTGCAAGGCTGGCGTTAACATATGTGTAAAAATACATTCTGTTATGTTATATTATGTAATGTATTATGTTACATACATGTGTAAATGTAGATGTGATATATATGTCAAATGTATGAATGTAATATATTTTTAACAGCATGTAAATGTAAATATAATCTACCTGTTACACGTGTAAATGTACGTGTAAGATCTCTCTTACATGTGCAAAATTATGCGTAACCTCACGGCTACACCTGTAAATGCACGTGTAACATCGGTTACGTGTCTTTTCCCTGTTCGAATACGAACACGCTTAGACAATTTTTTGCCACGTGTATATATATATATATATATATGCGCGCGCACGCACGTACACGCGCGGGCAGCTGTAGCAAACAAACAGCAGATAATTATATATATCTATTCATTCACGTACTCCCGCACTGCACAGCATGTATATATATATATATATATCAAGAGTACATAATAGAGATCTTAATTCTCTTTTATTAATCTAATTAGCCTAATTAAATCTTAATTAGAGATAATAGAGATAATAATAATCTCTATTAATTTTATGTACTCTTGATATATGTACGTGCACGCGCACGCGGGGTACAGATCTCTGCTGATGCATGCATGCATGCCTGCACTGGCACGACAAAGCAGCAGTACGGCAAAAACGGGCAACTCAATAATCTGTAGCAGAAATACATAGCGACGATCTATAATGGGCATTATTTATATAGACGGCCTGTCTAGACGCCCGTGGCAGCTCGTCGGCAACGTGCCAGCAGCAGCAAGCCGCTAGCACTGGTAGCAGCAGTAGCAGCAGCAGCAGGCGGCAAAGGTAAGTTAGAGGTGAGCACTGCTGCACGTGCGGGTTGCGAGTAGAAGAAAGCAGGACGAGGAATGATGACACATCACAGATTCGCCGCCGGACCTTCCCCTTCCAGTAAACAGGGCAACGTCGCCGCTGTTCGACTTCCCGCTGATGCTGAATAAGTACCGATTACCCTTTAATCGAACGGACGCACAATCGAGAATAATCGACAACAGACGCACGCACGCACGCACGCACGCACGTACGCACGTACGCACGAACGCAAACCGCTATACGCAATAATATACACACAACCTCTGTGAACTGCAAGTTTTACTGATACTACACAGGCGATTTCCTGGGGTCAACCTACTTTCAGTCCACTCACTCGCTCGCACGCACGCACGCACGCACGCACGCACGCACGCACACGCACACACACACACACACAGGCTCACTCAGCCACCCAAGAATCCATCCACCCACTCACCCACCCACTGACTAACTACGACCCGATCACGTGACAGCGAGTTGGAATGAGGGATGGAGGTCAAGCACTATTGCTGACAGGTCCTCTAGCAAAGGCGAGGGTCGGCTTTAAAAACGAGGACCGGGACCTCTCCCTGATCCGCGCTACCAACATCTCAGCACACGCACACATGCACGCACATGCACGCGCGCACACACACAACACACACACGCACGCACGCACACTCGCACACGCACGCACGCACGTACGCGCACGCGAGCACTGACGCGCATCCAGTGACCCCGTGGCATGCGACCCCTCTCACCACGTGCGGAGAGTGAAAGCGGATTTTACAACAACTGCAGTGAAAAGATCACAGGCTCGGTTGCGTTCGGGGCACCCGCCTAGACGCGAACGGAACGTAACCGCCGGAGCAGAACATTATATTATACGTTAAATACGTTGTGCAAACAAATTCGATACGCAAATACGTCGTGAACCTACGTTAATCGGTGCAGTTGAATGGTTTGTTGGCCAATGAAGGACCCCTGGCCGCAAGAACTATATACATCAAGACCATATCTGTGCAATATTTATTTACAATATATACATTGTATAGATACGCTCGGGTGTACACTTATCTACACACGCACACGCACGCACGCACGTACACGCACACTCACACACACACACACACACGCACGCACGCACGCACGCACACACACGCACGCACGCACGCACGCACGCACGCACGCACGCACGCACGCACACACACACACACACACACACACACAGACACACACAGACACACACAGACACAGGGTGCGAAACACACAGACACAGGGTGCGAAACACACAGGGTGTTACACACACAGGGTGCGAAATTAACGGGAGTCCGGAGTCAAATACTCCCCGATTTACTGTCGGACTCCCTGATTTGACATACGCAGGAGTCCGTGTGACTCCCTGAAAATTCTGCCATACTAACTAGTTCGTTCTAAACAGAGCACGGCCTCGCCGAATTACCGTATTTTTCCAGCTGTCCAAAGAAAATTGGGCAGACATGCCACCGCATGAATCTTCAAAATAAGCACATACGTTAATCTTTAATTTTAAACTTCAGACTGCGGACTCCGTCATTTTGCTGCGGACTCGCTCTTTTTGAGGGTAGGGAGTCCATTGGACTCCCGTGTTCAAAAGTTAATTTCTACCCCTGCACACACAATATATTAATTCGCGTACACTATAAATTCGGCTTATATACGCTACCATAATGTCTGCAGTACATACACCCTGTAGGGCAAGGACGCCATGTAACTGACAACATACTACCTGATACTACATACACTGTATTCATACAGTGAAAATCGGAGTCAGTCTCTACTGCAACATCTGACATTTCAGATGCGTACGTATCTACTATTTAGTAAAATTTATTACAGGTGATATAACAGATATATACAGTAATTATATCATGTTTATGTTATTACCTCCGCCAAGAGGTTATGTTTTCGCCCCTGTTAGTTTGTGTGTTTGTTGGTTTGTTGGTTTTTCTGTCAACAGGATATCTCAAAAAGTTACGGACGGATTTTGATGAGACTGGGAAGCTGTGGGGACCAATCGATTAGATTTTGGTGGTGATCTAGATCCAGATATGGATCCAGGATTTTTTTTTTATTTTAAAATTAAAATGTTTTTTTCGTGCATTCAAAATTCATTAAAAAAATATCCTGGATCTTTTTTCCCCAAATTTCTGAAAATGCCATCAAACTATATTTGGTGTACCAGCAAGATGGGGGACTGTGGAATACGCTGTGGTGGAGGTTGTTTGCCCGTGTCTCATGCTATGTGCCGCTTGGCATATGCATCGTGACTACGCGCGGTACACGCGTGTAACCACTACAATGGTATAGGCGTACATACGTCACCACTGACCAGCGTACCTAACCCTCATTGTACACCGACCCTTTATAGTATACGCTACTGCCACGTGAAAAATATTGAAACACGTTATTTGCTTGAGACTTCGACAAATCGAATTCCTTATTTCTTGAGTGAGCGGTGGGCGAGTAGCAAGGCGATGTTTTTGCTCTATCATCTAATCAAACTCTCGCATAGTGGGTTGGGTTATGTTGCATTTTTGTATAGACTCAGGTGCCACTTTTATCTCTCTAATAATTCAATGCTTTGCTAACTTTTGTTGTTGTTTGTAGCGAATCTCTTTACGGCAAAAGAACACTGCAGCTAGGACTTGCACTGAATGCCCATGCACGTTACATGAATCATAGCCCTGGTGTTAATTTGGAGAAAAAAATAACAGCTCTTTACGTGGAATTGCATTACGGGGAACAATAACCATGGAAACAAGATCGTAGCAACAGCTTCCCAGTCTCTCCAAAAACGTCGTATTACTTGAAAGACTACAATGAAATAAAACACCGTTTGATTGGCCTCAACAGCGTGTATCTAACGAAAATTGGGAGTCGGTCACCATGGCAACAATGTCAGTGAAACGAAAACCAAATTCATGGCAATAGAATGCCACAGGATGTTACGGTAATCAGCCTAACAGGGAAAAGCAAAATCTGAGTGAAATCCAGCAGGGGTTGAAATTAGCGTGAGCTTAGAATCAAATACTGCCTGCTTTAATGTCAGACGCTCTCATTTGACATCAGCAGGAGTCCAAATTACTCCGTGAAAATTCTATAAATAAAGTTTAACAAATAATTTATAAAGATTTAATGCGATAGTGCGTTTCTGCGTTAAATTAAAGTCGTATTCTGCAGTAATATGCATTAGATCATAGGATAAAGGTTGCCATTCCTGCGCGGTTATCGTCTTGACTAAATATTATTACTTTTAGATTTGAATTTCAAACAGATTTATTACCACTTTTTGAGGGTAGGAAATCTATTGGAATCTTTTAATCAAATTGCATATCAACTACTGGTCCAGAGGCGGAAGGAAATGATTTTATTGGCATAAAAGCTGGTTAAAAAGACTGAAGTTGTGTGGAGATCCCAGCCAGCCCACGGCTGGTGATGACCTGATAAATATTCAACTTAGTTATATAATAACTATTCTGAGAGAAGAGTAACTAAGTAATACAGGCTACAGCTTGTACAAATATCCCTCGATATAAGAAAAAGAAAACAGAGGAGGAGGAGGAGAAGCAGAAGAACAAAGTAAAAGAAAAAAGACAAGGAAGAAGGAAAGAAGAAAAAGGGAGGAGCAAGAAGGGGATGATGCAGATAATGAAAAAGAAGAAAAAAACAGAAGATACACAGAGAGAGGAGCGAGAGGACACAAGAGAAGGGGGGGGAGAGAGATAGAGAGAGAAAGAAATCTAGAGAGAGGGCGAGAGGGAGAGAGAGAGAGGGGAGAAATGGAGAGAGAGAAAGAGAGAGAGCGAGGGAGAAAGAGAAAGAGAGAGACAGAGACAGAGGCAGAACAGACTCGCTCGTTCGCACGTTAGTTACATTAGTTTTAATTAGAAAGCACGTCAGTTACACTCACGTTGGCGGTTGCGTCGCCGCAGCTTCTGCGTCTTCTTCCGGCGCAGCAGCTTGCTCGGCGTGTCGTCTCGCGAGCGCAGAGTGCGCGGACTCGCGGCCGGCGCCGGCACGAAGTGCCGATTCACGTGCCGCTCGAGCGCTACCTCTGACGTGAAGCGCTGGCCGCATCCCGCGACGATGCACTTGAACGGTCGGCTGCCGAGGTGCGAGCGCACGTGCAGGCCGAGCCAGGAGCGCGAGCACGACGGCTGCGCGTACACCTTGCAGCCGAGCCAGCGGCAGGCGAACGTGTCGCTGCCGCGCTGCGGCTCGACGTGCGCGCGGTGCACGTGCTCCATCAGCTGCGCGTCGCACTCCATCGCCGCCATCGCGCAACCCTCCCAGCCGCACACCACGCTGCCGGGGGGCGCCACCGACGCGGCGGCCGCGCCGAGTTCGTTGCACACCGTCCAGGAGACGACCTTGTCAATGCTCTCGAGCGTCGTCGTCACCGCGATCTCGTCGCTCGGTGACGGCGACGGCTGCCCCGTGCTGCCCCCTACGTCGTCCGTGCGACCGCCAGAGGTCTCCACCGAGCCGACGGGCGAGTCGGGAGGCCGGCCGCGCGGCCGCTTCTCGTCCGGCACCGGCGACGATGCCTCCTCGGGCGACGACGCGCGGTCGGCCGCGCGCTCGCACCGCGGCAGCGCCACCTGGCAGCTGCGGCCGATGTCCTTGCCGAGGGCGAGCAGCACCCCCTGCTGGTCTTTGGTGACGACGCCGTTGCGCGGCGGCCGCGCCGCGTGGCTCTTTGGCTTAAGGAAGCCACGCAGCACGCCGCCCGGCTCTGCGAAGCCATTCTTTGGCTTCTCCGATTTTGATTCGAGCGGTTTGCTGTCGCGGCAGCAGGTGGCGCCCATGCAGTTGCCGCCGGGCGCCTCGTGCCCCTGCCCCGTCGTTGCCGCCATGCCTGCCAGCGCCAGAGGGAGCACGCGGGTTTGCCCCAAGATGTAGGCGCCACGGGAGTCCGCGGCCACAGCGCCACGCGACTGTTTGTAGGGGGCGCCCGCGTCGGCGCACACGGGGCTGCGCGACTGTTTGTAGGGGGCGTGGGCGTCAACGTCGGCGTAGTCGTCGGGCATGATGCTTACGTCATCGCTGCTGTTGGAGAGATCAGTGCCACTGCTGCTACTACCGTAAGAGTTGCCAACGCTGCAAAACATAAACATTTCACGGGCATAAGTCCAACAGTCGGTTTTGTAGTAAACGAACCTGTGCGCACTAGGGTAGGTTTGTAGTAATCGAGCAAACTACTACCGACCTCACCAGATCAAAACAAACAAACAAACATTTGCACCGGATCGCACGATCTGTTGTGAACAAACAGTCGCTAGTTAATCAGTAGAGTTCATAACAGCGAAACAAATATTTCAACCAACAACGATAATAAAAAAGCGATCTTTCAGCGCGGCGCTGCAAAGTCTGCAACAAAGAAAGAAACTCTAATGGATCAGTGACGTTATTGGCAAACAAACAAACATTTACATGTCGCAAAGGTGCGTAGTGACAGAACAAACATGCATACATCACGCAAGGGTTGATGTACACGTAAATTGCTAACGCACTCACTGATATAACACACATAGGAAAGCCACGGTACAAACCACTTCACCTAAAGTTATATCACCCAAATGACGGTTCAAGTGACATGTAGCAAGCCGAGTGTAGTCGCTTTGACCCCAACTTCACTATCATCATAATTCACACAAGCTTATATCACACTACAACAGCCAAGCATGAAAGGAATAAGAGTAATCACATTTTATGACAAAGCCATATAATTAAACCTGCCAAAGCGGATTCGTAACGAAATCGAAAAATTACTCACTGCACTGCCCAGCATCCTCCCCGCACTCCCCAGCATCCTCACTGTGCCCCCCAGCATCCCCGCGCTCCCCAGCATCCTCCCCGCGCTCCCCAGCATCCTCCCCGCGCTCCCCAGCATCCTCCCCGCGCTCCCCAGCATCCTCCCCACATGCAGGCCGGCATCTCGCGCGTCAATAACGTGTCGTGGCCTCAGGCTTCGACGGCGAACGCAGCGACCTTGGTTCATTCGCCGCGGCCACGCACTGAGAGCAAACATGCGCCGGTGCAGCGTGTTCCCTCTTGATTACATTCTCAGCAATGTTCAGTCACTCCGTCTGTGTTTCCCCCCCCCCAACCTCATGATATACATGAACATGCTACATTGTACAACACAGTAGGAACATTAATTCACTGATGAAATACGTGATCACAGATGTGTACAGTGCACGGAATTACGATATATCACTCTTGCTCGCCCTCTTTTGCTCACTATCCCTCACTCTCTCTTGCTCACTCCCACTCATTCACTCGTTCTCACTCTCTTACTCTCTCTTGCTCACTCTCTCTCTCTCTCTCTCTCTCTCTCTCTCTCTCTCTCTCTCTCT